TTCGCTCTTGGGACTGAGAGGGACCAGACATCAATCCAGGTTCTCCAAATCTTTCTGAACAAGTCTCTCATATTTCAAACTTGTAAGTAAACAGCAGGCAAGGCGTGTTAGTTTATCTTTGTTTTCTCAACTTGTAAATGTACCTTTTAGTAGAGTGTTTATCTCTGTTTGCTGTACTTTGAACCTGAGGCTAGAGGGAGGTCCTCTGAGCTCTTTAAGTTTGATTACCCTGTAAAGTTATTTTCCATACTGATTTCACAGAGATGATTTTTACCTTTTTCTTTAATTAAAAGCCTTCTTTTTAAGAACCTGATTGATTTTTCCTTGTTTTGAGATCCAAGGGGGTTGGATCTGTATTCACCAGGAGTTGGTGGGAGGAAGAAGGGGGGATGGTTAATTTCTCCTTGTTTTAAGATCCAAGGGGTTTGGATCTGTATTCACCAGGGAATTGGTGAAGGTCTCTCAAGGCTACCCAGGGAAGGGAATTAGCTTTGGGATGGTGACAGTGGACCAGATCTAAGCTGGTAGTTAAGCTTAGAAGTTTTCATGCAGGCCCCCACATTTGTACCCTAAAGTTCAAAGTGGGGAAGCAGCCTTGACACCCTCTTATGGGAAATTTAAAGAATTTTTAAGAGACTTAGTGACCACCTATACTGCAGAATGAACTGGGTGGAGACCAGTTACAATAAGATAGTTCCTCAACTTGATTCAAAACACAATTCCATCTTGCAGCATAGATGGGACTGAATCATGTTTTTATTATATTCCCATAGTATGTTACAGCTATGGGGACCTAATCTATGCCAATTGAGCCCAAGGAAAATGTTCATATCCTTCTGGAGGAGAATAGGGCCCATGGACTTTCTAAGGTTGTCAGTTTTGAGAAACTTAAAACATATTCATTGAAAGCTGGAACTATGTATGAACCAGGGAATGCTGAGGTATGATCTGGATCTTCAGAACAGTTCATTTACCAGTGACAACAGTTGTAGTGCAAGGTTCAAATCTTTCTAGATTCTGTGGTACCCATTTCAGACAAGCAATTTGTGGACATTTAATCTCTGAATCAGGAAAATCCCTTGTAAGTGCTTGCTCTCCTGTATTTTAATAGGAGTGCCTTTACTCATTCTCCCACAAAATGCTGTCCATAGAAAGTGAATTGTAAATTAAAAAGAAACAAAAAAACAAAGTTTTTCAAATTTAACATGAGGAAGTGACACAGGGTTTGCCTACAGTAGGAAAAGCAGTCAGGGATAGCTATCCCGTTTCCCCTAGCATACATACCGGTTGACACCTTTTTGCCTCAATTTAGTTGGTTGAGATCCATCTTTAGACATCCTTCTGGAGTCAATCAGAACCAGTTAACTCAAAGTAAAAGTTGTTATCTTATAACACTAGGGTAACCGAACCTTGATTGATTTTCCTAATCTGGACAAACCCTCAATGGAGAACAACAACAACAACAAAATTCTAATTACACAGGGTAAGAGTGTTTAAAAGTGTTTAAGTTTCTTTTCTTAGATCAATATTCCTGTCTGTATATTGAAGCTCCAGTTTATCCCGAGAAGAGAATTCCACTTCCAAGCCCTCCTCTTTCACATGGAGTACCTTATGCCTCTTTTCCTCCCTTCTCTTCCTGCACACCACCTCCTGTTGCAGCAATCTCTCCCTCTCTAAAGGAAGCTACAACCTAGCTTCCCACACTGGGCTCAAATGATGTGCTACGAAGTACTAACATTTGCTTTCTAGCTTACTCGGTGCTTTATATGCACTTTGTATTCTAAATCTCAGAGCATACCATATCACATAAGTGTGCTCTGAGATTTAAAATACATTACCAAGAGTAGCAGTGAAAGAGATAGGAGGCTGTGAGCATCCAAACACCAGAGCTCAGCACAAGCAGCTGAACTCTAATTTCCTTTAACAGGAGCAGGAAGGGACACTAAAGATTTTGGGTGAAACTGAAAAAGGATGAAGAAAGGCAAAGACGGTTTGATGAAAAGATGAAGGGCAAATATACTACTTCTTACCTTCAGACACAGTTGTTTCTTATTCTTGCCCAATAGGAGAAAGTTATTTTTTGATCGCTGGGTCATGGTCACCAAATTTTTACAACGTTTTTTAGTGCTGTTTCTGGCCACCAGAGCTAAAGTATAAATTTAAAATACCAACTCATTTTTTCTGAATTGAAACATAACTCGAAAATCTTCTGAAGAGGCAATATTCAATTTTCAGTGCATACTGATAGACACAAGAATAGCAACATGCCTAAGCACTCATGATATTGACCACCTTTGTAAAGTACTTTGGGATCTACTATATAACAACCATGGCTTTAAATCCTCCTTCTAAAAGTGAATGTTGTGTACACCATGTATTCTGAGTCATATTCATGGGATGGTTGGATTGACTCCTATTTGAAATGACATTCTCTAAATAGCATAAAATTGAGGGAAACAATAGGGCAGTGCGAAGTTTTAACTAATTCTAACAGAAGTAGGTGAAAAATATCCATTTCTGTTGGCCATCTCAAGACCAAACACAAGGTTTAGGTTAAAAAACTGGGAAAACTAATAAATAAGGATCATAAGCAGAAACGATATGAACCAAGAATACCTTCTACCAATTTATATGAAATGGTAGACTGAAATGAGGATTATTGATTGGCTAGCTGCAGGAATTACCAAATAGGGGTCCCACAAATAATAAAGTTCTTACTTTAAAAGGAATTCCAATAGTAAATAGAGTATGGCTAAGTCCAACCAGGTCAGGCAATATTTTTTCTGTTTAGAATATGTCTGTCCCCATAGTATCTGAATGCCTTTACAAGACAGTGCAATTAAAGAGATTTTGTTGTTGTTATTCTGGAGAGCTTTGTACTCTTTTAAAAACCAGTTGGAGTTAATGGACCAAATTCATCCTTTGTGTCATCCAATGAACCTCCGACTGGCTGGTGTGCACTCTGTGGGAGACCCCTGGAAGGAATTATGTCTGAGTCAGGCTTCTGGGTATTCTAACTACATGGAATCCCTCTAAAATCCTTGGTAGAATGTGGGGCACATTCTAGCACAGTCTATTTATATGCAAGTAAATCTAAATAAAGATAATGGCATTTAGATGGACTAAGTCTGCAAGAAGAAGGTATAAAGTACACCATTTAGGTGTGCCTCAGCAGGTAAATTATACTAATTTGAAATCTGGAAGGATATCTGAAGTAACGTGCAAGATATTTCAAGTTCTTTATCCTTGTGTTATATACCCTTTCACTCAATGGGCCAAATTCAGAAGTGATGTGCAAATTGCACATCAGTGAGTGCATCTGCATATAAGGGAGCCATAAGACTGTAATTCACAGTCCAACAAGCCAAAAGAGAGGAATATAGCAATAAAAGCAGCTGAAAGGAGGATGTAAGTTAAAGGAAGCCATCTCCTGCTTTGATCCTCACTTTACACCTTCTTCCAGCTGCCCAAATGTTTGAAACACCACCTAAGATTCCCATACACATTGGTATTCTGGTGTCAGTAGATCGTAGGGAGTCTAATTTATATATCACCTTTGAATATGTTTGAAGTGGCCTACTGAAGCTTGAGCATGAGCTTGGAAGCCAAGAACTTGTTGTAAATATAGCACTGCCTCATTGAACATTGGAATTAAACAAATCATTCAAACTCTCTAAGCCCATCTATAAAGTGGGTTTAATAAGACTTCCCTACCTAACAAGCATTTTTTGATAACTAATATTTGTATAGTGCTATATAAATGCTAAATATTATTAATGTTCTGAATATTAATATCAGTCTTAGCGGTGCTTTGATACTACAGTGATGAGCATTATAGAAAACCTTGAGATAGACAGGAATCTCTAAGATTAGCAACACTTTCTTGTTGCATTACTAACTTTCTGTACTTCCCTTAAAGGTCCATCAAAAACCCTTTCAAAACCAAACTCTTGACATAAACAAATATAGTTTTGCTCTCTGAGCCACAGTAACCAAAATCTTACCACAATTATTCTGTTTGTTGCTTGTGAATATGTCTAACCATGCAATATCTAAAATATAAAAAATATTTTTGCAATTAAACATACATATGCCGCAAACTAAGAAGATTTTAAAAGTATTCTGCAAAAACGCAACATTCAGTTTTCCTGGAATATGCAGTAACAGCAATAGGCGTCATTTCCTTCTAAGTCTTGATCACTGTTTTGCATTCATATATACTTACAATGGCCTTATCAGCCACTTGCAGCAACTTGTAGGGTACGTGTAGATACACACGACAATGAAAGGCAGGCTGTGCCCACGCTGCAGTGTGTATCTGCATGCAGCAGTGAAAGGCTCTGGCAGGGAGAAGGCAGTGGGGAAAAGGCTCAGCAGTAGGGGGCTGCTGGCCTTTTCCCACTGCCTCCCCCTTGCCAGAGCCTTTTCCCATTGCTGGAGCATTTCATTGCAGTGGGGAAGGGCTCTGGCAGCAGGGAGGCAGTAGGGCACTATGTTGCTAAAAATAATGTAGAGGTGGGAGGCACTCCTTAGGCATGTAGACAGCCATGTAGGGTGTATACCCTAAGGTGCTGGTCTTTCTCTACTAGCTTAAGCAGTGCCTCACCATCTACACTGATGTTTATACCTGTTCTAGCTGGACATGCAGTGTCTATACTCTACATGCTGCCTTAAGTGTAGGCCTACCTAAATGGAGTTGTGTACCATTTTTGTCCCGATAGCTGTAGTGGGGAGGAGGAGAGTATGACAATTGTATTTATTCATTGTCTTTTATAACAGAGAATAAATCCTTGAAGATAGAGGTCAGTAGTGCAGTGTGAGACTAATTTGAGTTTTAAGCACCAGTCTAGTAACAAAGGATCATGACTAAAACTAAGTAAACAGTAAATGGCTGTCCTGTTACTAACAAGGGGCCAAATTGTGACTAACTCTTATGTGAGTGTATAATGGTAGGAAGGTAGTTTGTGCTCCACCTTGCATTCCCCTCTCAGGGCGTGGCCAGAGTTGCAAACACTGTGCTCCTTCAGCTGTTCAGAGTTACAATCTTTGCACCAGCCCCTCCAAAAGTCTATGGCTCTCTCTCTGCAATGGCTGACCTGGTCAGCGTGGAGGGGAGCACATGCTGCTCCCTTCTCCAGCATGGTGCAGCAGGTTTGCTTCCTGTGAACTCTGATGCCTCTTCGAGCTTCTGTTGGGGTGGTGCAGCTCTAGTAGGCATTGTGGCGCTGTAGCTAGGAGACACACCTTCACCCTAACTACGCAGGGATTGCTGGCCAGCATCTGACAAATTGCTCACCAGATAATGGGAAACCCTCCCATACACATACATGCAAATTCATATTTAAAAACTAATTATGGGCCCCATTCTCCACAGCTTATTTCCTCACTGTAGAAACTCAAGTTCCAAATTGCAGAGTTTCCCTGGAATACTTCCCCTAACCCTATCTGTAGAAGAGTCCAGGAGTTCAGTGCTGTAAATCCACAGATGTCCCCAGTCAGGTTGGATCTTCAGCAATCCACTGGACCTGAATCCCTCCCCAGCTCCTTGCATGCCTTGACAGCACATCTTGACTGTCATGTTCTTCTTCAGCTGCCTCTAAATCCCCAACAATGGGGCCTTCCGCTGTTCAGAGATAGGATCAGATACAGGTCCTCAGCTGGAGTAAATGGACATAGCTCCCATGAGGGAGGAGTTATGCTCAGTGACACCAGGTAAGGTGCTGGCCCTCAGTCTGAAGTGTCTTGCACTGTATATGTCTCATAGGCGTGCGCAGCCCATTTCATTAGGGTGTGCACCCAGGGAGCCCCGCCCCTGCCCTGCCCTAGTCCTGCCCCATCCACTCCCTCCTACTTCCCGCCCCCTGACTTCCCCCTCAGAACTCCCAATCCCCCCTGCTCCTTGTCCCCTGACTACCCCCTCCTGGGACCCCTGCCCCTAACTGCCTCCTGGGACCCCTGCCCCTAACTGCCCCCAGGACCCCACCCCCTACCTAAGCCTCCCTGCTCCTTGTCCCCTGACTGCTCCCCTAGAACCCTACCCCCTACCTGTCCCCTGACTCCCCCGACCCTTATCCACACCCCTGCCCTCAGACAGACGCCCGGAACTCCCATGCCTATCCAACTGCTCCCCACCCCCGACAGGACCCCCAGAACTCCCGACCCAGCTCCCTGCCTCCCCCAACCCCTCTCCACACCCCTGCCTTCTGACAGCCGCCCCAGAACTCCTGACTCATCCAACCCCCGCAGCTCCTTGTCCCCCAACCACCCCCTCCAGAGACCCCCCCCATTAACTGCCCCCCCCAGGACTCTCCTTGCTCCCTGTCCCCTGACCCCTATCCACCCCCCGCCCCCTGAAAGACTCTGGGACTCCTATGCCCCATCCAATCCCCCCTGCTCCCTGACTGCCCCCTCCAGAGACCCCTGCCCCTAACCCGCCCCCGGATCCCACCCCCTATCCAACCCACCCTGTCCCCTGACTGCCCCCCACCCCATATCCAACCCCCTGGCCCCGGACCCCTTACCATGAGATGAGGCTCCTAGCCTCCCCGCGGAGCCAAATACTGCCATGCGGGAGTGCGCAGCCCCGGCCCCCAGAGCACTGCACGTGCGGCAGCATGGCTCATGGGGAGGGGGAAGCATGTCTGACTCCCTGAGGAGCCCCAGCCCCAGAGCGCTGTGCACAGCGGCATGGCTCCAGGGGAGGGGGGAGCGTGTCTGACTCCCCGTGGAACCCCGGCCCCCAGAGCGCTGTGCGCGGCGGCATGGCTCCAGGGGCGGGGGGAGCATGTCTGCCTCACCGCGGAGCCAAATGCTGCCCCGCGGGAGCGCGCAACCCCGGCCCCCAGAGCGCTGCGTGCGCGGCAGCATGGCTCCAGGGGAGGGAGGAAGGCGGGGGAGGGGCCGGTGGCTTGCTGCACTCGGCCGGGCGCTCCAGCCCAGGAGCGTGGACCCTGCGGCTTGCCGCGCCAGGGAGTGGACCCATTTGCCCACCCCTGCATTAGGGTGTGCCTGGGCACACCCGGCACACCCCGTGCGCACGCCTATGATAGATCTGCAGTTCGAGGAGGGGAGGGCATACAGTGAAGAACAGCTTCCTCCCAACCTCATCCCAATTTAGGGTGACCAGATGTCCCGATTTTATATTGACAGTCCTGATTTTTGGGTCTTTTTCTGATATAGGCTCCTGTCCCGATTTTTCACACTTGCTATCTGGTCACCCTATCCCAATTCTGGAACCCTGTGCGGTTCCCATTCCACACCTCTGCCATGATCTATGATTGTAAGTTCCTCTCTGTCCGTGGAAGTCGAGGGCAGCATTTAGCTCTATATTTAACCCCTCAAAACTGATAAACATTCAGGGAGAGGGTTGTTTTACCCTAGGAAAAAAATAAAATAAAAGGAGTCTTGAGTATTTACTGCTTTTAACCTGTGAAGCAGCTTAGAGGCACACATAGTGCAACCAGTGCTTTCACTCCCTTCAACACATTGTGGCTGCTCAACTCCATCATTATTTGTATTTTCTCCCTCTACCATTTCCTCCCCCAAAATGTCTAGCAGCTCGTCTTTGAATGCTAGCTGGGGTGTCATTTTTGTGCATTGATTAGAGAAGCCCAGTCACAGGTCAGGAAGGAGTTAAATATGGCTGCACCCCATAGCTTCTGTATCTCCTTTTATTTCTCTTTCCAAGTGATTGTTTCCCTTTCCACCTACTGGAATGCAAACATGCCTTTTACTCTAGTGGCCAGTAAACAAGATAACCTACTTTTCATTTAAAATTATACAGTACTTACTTTAAGCCTGTTATTGTTTTTGTTCTGTAACTACCAAAGATCATACTAGTGGGATCAAATGTTTCTAATGCCGATTGATAATACAGAGTAAGTGAAAGCAAGCACATGGAAATACATGGAAGTGTCCTGTAAGACAATATATATTATTTTGATATAGAAAGAGAAACTGTACCTTCAATGGATTGTGAATCCTCAATTGATATTTTACGATGGCCATGCTCGTCTAAATCAAAACGCAGAGTTTTTGAGTCCCTTGTCAGTATGTAACATTTCTTTCTGTCATAGTGTTGGTATGCTAGTCACAAATGAATTTCAGTTAGTTTTGCTGGTCACAGAAAAATAGAAAGGTTCCCTAAGAGAATGTTTCTATTGCAACCCCTGCAAAGTGGAAAAACTAAACAAGTCTTAAAATACAACCACAGGCAACATGAATGTAACAGCATGGGCTCAGGCAGCTATGCTTTTGGGTTTGGCTAAACTTCAGTCATCTTTTTTTGCCTTTGTAATGACAAAACCAAACCCAATGCTAACTTTAGTTTTGAATTTACCACCTGTAGGAAACATTTTATTAAGATGATGTTTAAAAAAAAAAAGTGTATGGTACAGAGTTTAGGCATAGAAGTTTCTGGTGATCAGGGAATAATGTACAGATTATCAAGGGGGTGTGAAGTTCGGTTTAAGATCGAGTGGTGTAAGGAATACATAATCTGCAATAGCCCCGATTGGGGGTAAAAGGTTAACGGTAGTAAAAGACAGAAATAGCTTGTCAGTAGGGGCTAAGCCCCACCAATAATGTCACACAACAGTACAGAACGGCTGATGTACCTCAGGGTGCAGTACCACCTGCAGCCATTGGGGGCTACTGGAGAGATTGGAGCTACTCCAATCCTGGAGGCTAAACCAGATAATGTTGGGAGACGTCTGGCCCTGCAGCATACAGGTTGCAAGGCAAAGGGGGAGGAGGCATAGAGCACAGAACACAAGTTTCTGTGGGGCTAGCCCCACAGAGGCAGAATACAGGACTGTTTTAGATGCTCCCTTCTGCCTCTGCTCCAGAGTTGCCAACTTTGGTTGGATGAATTCCTGGAGATTTTATCACATGATATAATCTTTAATTAAAGATTAATCTTTAATTCCTAGTAGGGAGAAATTAGTAATGGGGAAATTAAGTTTAGGTTTTGTAATGATCCAACCACTCCCAGGTTGGGTCGTTACAAAATCTAAACTTAATTTCCCCATTACTAATTTCTCCCTACTATTACTCACACCTTCTTGTCAACTGCCTGTAATGGGCCACTCTCTTACCACTTCAAAAGTTATTTTTCCTTCCTTGGTATCCTGCTGTTAATTGATTTATCTCATTAGACTGACCTCACACTTGGTAAAGCAATCCCCATCCTTTCATGTATTTATACCTGCTCCTGTATTTTTCACTTCATGCATCTGATGAAGTCTTGGGCTCTAGCCCACAAAAGCTTATGCCCAAATAAATTTGTTAGTCTCTAAGGTGCCACAAGGACTCCTCGTTGCTATTCCTAAACAAAGTCCAACATGCACACTTCTTTCAGTCTCTCTTGTCATACCTTTTTTGGGGGGTATATTGATACTCAGCACATCAGACAAATGAGAATAATGTCCAAAAAGGAGAGTGCAAGCACTGATTGAAAATACTGGGGCCAATCCAATTAATCAATGGGAAAGTAGTTTTAAAATAGGTTTCCAATATAAAAACCCAAATTAAAAAGGGGTAGGGGTCTGTGAAGAGTTTGTGTACATACCTTAGAGCTCTATTGATGTTACAGTTGGTCTGTGGCTAGCACTTTCTCACCTTCTACTAAAGTAAGAAGTTTGTTTACTCAATACTTGCCAAGTCTATACTAAACACAGCTTCAAGACAGTCAGACATTTCATGACAGAGGCACTAAGTCTCACCTGTCCTGTATCATACCCTATACTGAATAGATCTTCAGTGCCATGAGACATCAGGAGAATGATATCTAATGTGTAGGGGGACCATGGCGTTGAATACGAGATGGGGTGAATTGAGCATCTTGGACTTGACTTAATGCTTTAGAATACAACAGGAAGGGGATGTTAAATTTTATCCAACTTAGTAACTTCAGAGCCAGCACAAGATGAAGAGTAAATGAGTACCATAAAGTAACATTGATTTTTCAGTGCTCTGGCCATGACATGAGACAAGTGAAGGAACAGGGTAGAAACAGGAAGCTTTCAGGGGATCCAGAAATGCAATGGGAGTTAACTAATTCTGTTGAGAATACTGAGCCGAATTCACCACTGCATTACTCCAATTATACATGGCTGTAACTATAATGAAACCTCTGTTTTTGCTGGAGTTTTGAAGGTACAATTGTTTCTGGGAACCTTTGCTGATGCTTCTACCCTCTTTGTTTAGGATAAACAGGAACTGAGTACACACATAGTGAATAAACAGACTAGGAAAGCATATGGTGAGTGCCTGCCTCCCTCACTTCTCTTCCCACGAGGAATTGACCTGCTCTAAACATTTCAAGTTCTACTTTTGGTGCTGGGACAGGTCTCAGGACACTGATATGGACAAGAAGTGCATTTAGGATTGTTGTTTTAGTGGTGAGCTTTGTTTTGGTATGTGTAGGGAAATGTTCATTGCTGAACCTGTCATTTTTAAGCTGCTCCAGATACTTAAATAGGATCTGGTCCAAGAGGTGAATATAGCTGTACTGCTTGGTAATAGTGACCATAATATAATTAAATTTAACATCCCTGTGGCGGGGAAGATACCTCAGCAGCCCAACACTGTAGCATTTAATTTCAGAAAGGGGAACTACACATAAAATGAGGAGGTTAGTTAAACAGAAATTACAAGGTACAGTACCAAAAGTGAAATCCCTGCAAGCTGCATGGAAACTTTTTAAAGACACCATAATACAGGCTCAACTTAAATGTATACCCCAAATTAAAAAACTTAGTAAGAGAACCAAAAATGTGCAACCGGGGCTAAACAAAGTAAAAGAAGCAGTGAGAAGCAAGAAGGTATCATTTTAAAAAGTGGAAGTTAAATCCTAGTGAGGAAAATAAAAAGGAGCATAAACTCTGGCAAATTAAGTGTAAAAATATAATTAAGAAGGCCAAAAAAAGAATTTGAACAGCTAGCCAAAGGCTCAAAAAGTAATAGAATTTTTTTTTATGTACATCAGAAGCAGGAAGCCTGCTAAACAACCAGTGGGGCTACTGGACAATCGAGATGCTAAAGGAGCACTCAAGGACAATAAGGTGGTTGTGGAGAAACTAAATAAATTCTTTGCATCAGTCTTCATGGCTGAGGATGTGAGGGAGATTCCCAAACCCAAACCATTCTTTTTAGGTGACAAATCTGAGGAACTGTCCCAGATTGAGGTGTCTTTAGAGGAGGTTTTGTCACAAATTGATAAACTAAACAATAATAAATCACCAGGACCAGATGGAATTCACACAAGAGTTCTGAAGGAATTCAAATGTGAAATTGCAGAACTACTAACTGTAGTCTGTAACCTATGATTTAAATCAGCGTTTGTACCAAATGACTGGAGGATAGCTAATGTGACGCCAATTTTTAAAAAGGGCTCTAGAGGTGATCCCGGCAATTACAGGCCGGAAAGCCTGACTTCAGTACCAGGCAAACTGGTTGATACTATAGTAAAGAACAAAATTGTCAGACACAGATGAATGTAATTTGTTGGGGAAGAGTCAACATGTTTTTTCTAAAGGGAAATCATGCCCCCAATCTACTAGAATTCTTTGAGGGGGTCAACAAGTATGTAGACAAGGGGGAGCCAGTGGATATAGTGTACTTAGATTTTCAGAAAGCCTGTGACAGGGTCCTTCAACAAAGGCTCTTAAGCAAAGTAAGATGTCATGGAATAAGAGAGAAGGTCCTCTAATGGATTGGTAACTGGTTAAAAGATAGGAAACAAATGGTAGGAATACATGGTCAGTTTTCAGAATGGAGAGAGGTAAATAGTGGTGTCCCCCAGGGGTCTGTACTGGACAAGTCCTATTCAACATATTCATAAATGATCTGGAAAAAGGGGTAAACAGTGAGGTGGCAAAATTTGCAGATACAAAATTACTCAAGATAGTTAAGTCCCAGGCAGACTGCGAAGAGCTACGAAAGGATCTCTCAAAACTGGGTGACTGAGCAACAAAATGGCAGATGAAATTCAGTGTTGATAAATGCAAAGTAATACACATTGGAAAACATAATCCCAACTATATATATAAAATGATGGGGTCTAAATTGGCTGTTACCACTCAAGAAAGATCTTGGTGTCATTGTGTATATTTCTCTGAAAACATCCACTCAATGTGCAGTGGCAGTCAAAAAAGCAAACAGAATGTTGGGAATCATTAAGAAAGGGATAGATAATAAGACATAAAATACTATATCGCCTTCATATAAATCCATGGTATGCCCACATCTTTAACACTGTGTGCAGATGTGGTCGCCGCATCTCAAAAAAGATATATTGGAATTGGAAAAGGTTCAGAAAAAGGCAACAAAAATTATTAGGGGTATAGAACGGCTTCCATATGAAGAGAGATTAATAAGACTGGGACTTTTCAGCTTGGAAAAGAGATGACTAAGGGAGGATATGATTGAGGTCTATAAAATCATGACTGGTGTGGAGAAAGTAAATAAGTAAGTGTTATTTACTCCTTCTCATAACACAAGAACTAGGGGTCACCAAATGAAATTAATAGGCAGCAGGTTTAAAACAAACAAAAGGAAGTATTTCTTTACACAACCTGTGGAACTCTTTGCCTGAGGATGTTGTGAAGGCCAAGACTATAAAAGGGTTAAAAAAAGAACTAGATAAATTCATGGAGATAGCCATTGATGGACCTATTAGCCAGGATGAGCAGGGATGGTGTCCCTAGCCTCTGTTACCAGAAGTTGGGAATGGGCGACAGGGGATGGATCACTTGATGATTACCTGTTCTGTTCATTACCTTTGGGGCACCTGGCATTGGCCACTGTTGGAAGACAGGATACTGTGCTGGATGGACCTTTAGTCTGAGCCAGTATGGCCGTTCTTATGTTTTTCTATGCTGAATGTCCTCCTCAGCCTGTTTCCTGATGCCATTCAGCCCAGATTTCACTACTGAGTTCACTCCTGAATTTTGCTTTGCACATTACCTCTCTCAGGCACACGCTTTAGTTATAGTAAAGGAAAGTTTACCTTCACATTTACTTGATGATTTCTTTAGGTTTTGATTTTTACGCGTAGTTTCCTGGTCCATTGGTATCCGAGATGCAGTTGATTTTTTCTGTTTATTTTTACCCCACCCCATTTGTCGTTTTCTATTCTTCACCTCTGAAGGCTTTTGGAATCTTGAGCGCAATATCATTGTTGGAGACCCTGGAAAATCCTGGTAACCGGTCTTGAAGCTCTCTTCTAGTCCTAAATATAAATGATAGTTCAATCACAATACTTTGCATTACAGATTAGAACAAGTTTTTATTTTGCAACGATTGTTACCGTATTGACTTCTCAAGTCTTAACAATTCAGATAAAGAAGGTTAAATTCAGTAAATTGTTGCTTGCTTGTATTTTCTAAAGCCTTGTCTAAGAGCAAACACTGTGTTTTCCAATGATGTTGAAATACTGTTAAGCTGGTTAGCATAGGCTCCCCCCCCCCAGCTAAAACAGAAAATTAACATGTCTTCAAACCAGCCTTGGCATTACCTGGGGAGCAGGAGACATTCGACCTCTACCCAAAACAATCTTAATTGTCAGAAAGGCCAAAATATATACAAAGTTATTCAGAGTTAAGTAGTGGAAGTGACAGTGATTGTGCTGTATACTGCCATCTCTGTCTGCTGAGTGTCATTTTTGTGACTAACAACACTGTTTAAAATAATCACCTCAATAGTAGGGGTGTCAAGCGATTAAAAAAATTAATTGTGATTAATTGCGCTGCTAAACAATAATAGAATACCATTTATTTAAATATTTTTGGATGTTTTCTACATTTTCAAATATATTGATTTCAATTACAACGCAGAATACAAAGTGTACAGTGCTCACTTTATATTTATTTTTTATTACAAATATTTGCACTGTAAAAAATAAAAGAAATAGTATTTTTCCGTTCACCTCATACAAGTACTGTAGTGCGATCTCTTTATCATGAAAGTTGAACTTACAAATGTAGAATTATGTACAAAAAAACCTGCATTCAAAAATAAAACAGTGTAAAACTTTAAAGCCTACAAGTCCACTCAGTCCTACTTCTTGTTCAGCCAATTACTAAGAGAAACAAGTTTGTTTACAATAACGGGAGATAATGCTGCCCACTTCTTAATTACAATGTCACTTGAAAGTGAGAACATTCGTTCGCATGGCACTGTTGTAGCTGGTGTCGCAAGATATTTATGTGCCAGATGCGCTAAAGATTCATGTGCCTCTTCATGATTTGGCCATCGTTCCAGAGGACACGCTTCCATGCTGATGATGCTCGTTAAAAAAATAATGCATTAATTAAATTTGTGACTGAACTCCTTGGGGGAGAATCGTATGTCTCCTACTCTGTTTTTACCTGCATTCTGCCATATATTTCATGTGATAGTCTCGAATGATGACCCAACACATGTTCATTTTAAGAACACTTTCACTGCAAATTTGACAGAATGCAAAGAAGATACCAATGTGAAATTTCTAAAGATAGTTACAGCACTCGACCCAAGATTTAAGAATCTGAAGTGCCTCCCAAAATCTGAGAGGGATGAGGTGTGAAGCATGCTTTCAGAAGTCTTAAAAGTGCAACACTCTGATATGGAAACTACAGAACCCAAACCACCAAAAAAGAAAATCAGCCTTCTGCTGGTGGCATCTAAGGGTATGTCTACACTAAGAAATTAGGTCGATTTTATAGAAGTCGATTTTTAGAAATCAATTTTATACAGTCGATTGTGTATGTCCCCACTAAGCGCATTAAGTCGGCAGAGTGCGTCCTCACTACCGTGACTAGCATCGACTCACGGAGTGGTGCACTGTGGGAAGCTATCCCACAGTTCCCACAATCTCCGCTGCCCATTGGAATTCTGGGTTAAGCTCCCAATGCCTGATGGGGCAAAAACATTGTTGCGGGTGGTTTTGGGTTCATGTCGTCAGTCTCCCCTCCCTCCCTCCCTCCGTGAAAGTAACTTCAGACAATCATTTGCTGCCTTTTTTCCTGGTTTTCCCATGCAGACGCGATACCATGGCAAGCATGGAGCCCGCTTAGCTCACCGCTGCTATTGTGAGCATTGTAAACACCTCGTGTATTATACTGCAGTATGTGCAGAACCTGGCTAAGGGACGGCAGCACGAGGACAATTGTGAGGAGGACATGGACACAGACGTTCCTGAAAGCACAGGATGTGGCAATTGGGACATCATAGCGGCAGTGGGGCTGGTTGATACAGTGGGCCCGGCAAACAAGCACAGACTGGTGGGACTGCATAGTGTTGCAGGTATGGGATGATTCCCAGTGGCTACGAAACTTTCATATGAGTAAGGCCACTTTCCTGGAACTCTGTGAGTTGCTTTTCCCCACCCTGAAGCGCAGGAATACCAAGATGAGAGCTGCCTGACATTTGAGAAGCGAGTGGCAATAGCCCTGTGGAAGGTTGCAACACCTGACTGCTACCAGCCAGTCGGGAATCAATTTGGAGTGGGCAAATCTACTGTGGGGACTGCTGTGATTCAAGTAGCCAATGCAATCACTGACGTTCTGCTATCAAGGGTAGTGACTCTGGGAAATGTGCAGGTCATAGTGGATGGCTTTGCTGCAATGGGTTTCCCTAACTGTTGGGGGGCGATAGCTGGAACGCATATCCCTATCTTGGCACCGGACCACCTGGCCAACCAGTACGTAAACTGCAAGGGGTACTTCTCAATGGTGCTGCAAGCACTGGTGGATCACAAGGGACGTTTCACCGACATCAATGTGGGAAAAGTGCATGACGCTCGCATTTTTAGGAACTCCGGGCAGCTGCAAGAAGGGACTTACTTCCCAGACCAGAAAATAACCGTTGGGGATGTTGAAATGCCTATAGTTATCCTTGGAGACCCAGCCTACCCGTTGCTCCCATGGCTCATGAAGCCATACACAGGCAGCCTGGACAGTAGTAAGGAGCAGTTCAACTATAGGCTGAGTGTAGGGGAAAGGGTGCGGAAGATTGGCGAGGAGCTAAGTGGCGGACCGAATATGTGACTGAATGCAGTGATGAGCTGCCAAAATATTAACAACCGGTTCCCTCCTCCTCACCCCACGAGGGGGTTGTGCCCCCCCCCGCGACTCCTGCCCCATCCAACCCCCCACGTTCCTTGATACCCCACCCCCAGGACCCCTGCCCCATCCACCCCCTTCCCTGTCCCCTAACTGCCCCCTGCAGCCCCATCCAACCCCTCCTCTCATTCCTGATGGCCCCCCAGGACCCCTGCCCCATCCAACCACCCCTTCTCCCACCCCCGGAACCCCTGGCCCTGACTGCCCCCCACCGCCCCATCCAACACCCCTGCTCCTTCCTGATTGCCCCCTCAGGATCCTTGCCCCCATTCAATTCCCCTGTTCCCTGCCCTCTGACCGCCCCGAGTCCCGACCCTAATTCACCCCCCGCCCTCTATCCAACACCCCCTCCCTGCTCCCTGCCCCCCTTACCGTGCTGCCTGGAGATGGGGGCCACACCGCCCGGAGTCGGTGCTGGGAGCTGCAAGCGCCAGGCCAGAGTTGGGGGCCGGGCCGGAGTCGCGGGCCGTTTCGGAGTCGGGGCCGGAGCCGTGGGCCTTCCCGGAGCCGGGGCCCAGGCCGGCACCGCTGGCCGGCCCGAAATCGGGGGCCGTCCCGGAGCCAGGGGCCAGGCCGGAGCCGACCCGGAGTCGGGGCTGGGGGCCGGGCCGGAGCTGCTGGCCGGGCCGAAGTCGGGGGTTGGAGCTGTAAGCCAACCACCCTCCCCACTTCGATCACAGCAGGCAAAGGAAATAAAGTCACTATTGTTTTTAAACCTTGCATCCTTTCTTTATTAATTAAAAAAAAGGGAGATAACTGCTAAGGTAGCCCAGGTGGGGTGGGAGAGGAGGGGAGGAGAGAAGGACAAGGTCACATTGCTTATTGTAGCCACACTACAAATCAAAACTGTTCGAATGACAGCCTTCTGTTGCTTGGGCCATTCTCTGGAGTGGAGTGACTGGGTGCATGGAGCCTCCTCCCCCACGTTCTTGGGCATCTGGGTGAGGAGGATATGGAACTTGGGGAGGAGGGCAGGCGGTTGTACAGTGGATGCAGCGGCAATCTGTGCTCTTGTTGGCTTTCCTGCAGCTCCACCAGACACCAGAACATGTCCGTTTGCTCCCACATTAGCCTCAGCATTGCATCCTGCCTCTTCTCATCACGCTCACTTAATGATTTCCTGGACTCTGCCACTGAATGCCTCCATGCATTAAGCAGTGCCCTATCAGTGCGGGAGGACTGCATGAGCTCGGAAAACATGTCATTGTGAGCGCGTTTTTTTCACCTTCTAATTTGTGATAACCTCAGGGACGGAGATGATGGGGGAGCGTAGAAACATTTGCACCTGTGGGGGGATAAAAAGGGAAAGTAAAATTGAAGATGATACATTTCTGAGAACAAAAGGGAGACTCTTTCACAGTGAATCAAGCAATTTACAGCAGACAGCACATGTGCTTTAGGTATAAGGTTGCATTTTGCCTTTTATATTGAGCGCCTGCCGGTATAGTGACACATCACACACGGCTGGGCAATAAAATTCAGTTTCCAGGCAGCCATGGTAAGCCAAAGGATATGCGGGTTTTGCTTCTAACGTCTTCATAACATGTGGGAATGTTTTCAAACTGCAGCACCCTCCTTTCCCATAGCAAGCAATGCCGGTTGGGTTTGCCATTTAAAAGGAGGTGCTGCGGTTTTCGGGTGGATGTGCAGCACACACCTCCCCTTCCCACCGTCCTGTAGCTATTCTCAGGGATGATCCCTTTTAGCCAAGCGCAAACAGCCCAGCATGAATGGGGTCCTTTTACTGTTCCCTTACAAAAATTCCCCTATTTCAACCAGGTGACCATGAATGATATCACTCTCCTGAGGCTAACACAGAAAGATATAGATCGAATGTTGCTTGAATGCAACCAAAACCCAGGACCATTTGCTGCCATGCTTTGTGCTGCAGTGATTCCAGACTACTTGCTACTGGCTTGGTGTGGTAAAGTGTCCTACCGTGGAGGACGAAATAAGTTAGCCCTCTCCAGAAACCTTCTGCAAAGGCTTTCAGAGTACCTCCAGGAGAGCTTCATGGAGATGTCCCTGGAGGATTCCCGCTCCATCCCCAGACATGTTAACAGACTTGTCCAGTAGCTGTACTGGCTGTGAATGCATCCCAAGTCTTTAGGGCAAATCAAACATTAAA